GCAACACAATAGAATTACAACCAAAATAAAAATAATTTAAAACTCCACTTACATTATTAATATTTACAAGCATTCCTTATATCTCTGATACCCTGGGATATTTAAAAGCCATGTGAAAGATATTCTTACCTAATGCTTACCATTTATTCAAGAATAAAAAACAAATGCAAAAAGTTTGCCAACAGGGCAATAAGGGACATCTATGCTAAATAGGCATAGAAGGGGATTCCATATTGAAAGAAAAGCAAGACATTCCTCTAAAGAGATGAGGGGAAAAATATCCCAACATGGCAGGACTTCTACTGGGCTAAGAGCAGTGACTAGGAAAAAAAATAAAATTAAAAACCCAATCAATAAATGGGCCAAGGAGCTGAACAGACACTTCTCAGAAGATATATAATCGATCAACAAATATATGAAAAAAAAGTTCAACATCTCTAGTAATTAGAGAAATGTAAATCAAAACTACTCTAAGATTTCATCTCACTCTAGTCAGAATGGTAGTTATTAAAAATACAAGTAACAATAAGTGTTGGCAAGGATGTAGGGGGAAAAGGCACACTTATAGATTGCTAGTGGGACCGCAAATTGGTACAACCAATCTGGAAAGCAGTATGGAGATTCCTTAGAAAACTTAGAATGGAACCACCATTTGACCCAGCTATCCCACTCCTCAGTTTATACCCAAAGGACTTAAAAATAGCATACTACAGTGACACAGGCACATCAATGTTTATAGCAGCACAATTCACAATAGCTAAATTGTGGAACCAACCTCGATGTCCTTCAACAGATGAATGGATAAAGAAACTATGATATATATATATATCCCCAAAGGAATATTACTCAGCAAGCCAATCTGGAAAAACCAAATGTTTTCTCTGATAACTGGATGCTGATCCATAATGGGGGTGGGGGAGAGCAGAGGAGGAATGGAGGAACTCTGAATAGAGCAAAGGGAAGGGAGGAGAAGGGAGGGGGCCCATGGGTAGGAAAGATGGTAGAATGAGATGGACATCATTACCCTAGGTACATGTAAGAAGACACAAATGGTATGACTTTGTACAAACAGAGAAATGAAAATGTGTGCTCCATTAGTGTACTATGAACTGAAATGCATTCTGCTGTCATGTATAACAAATTAGAACAAATAAATAAATTTTAAAAAAAAGATTTTCTAGAAGCATTAGCAAAATTAAGAGGTCAAGGGCTAGGGATGTAGCTCAGCTGGAAGAATAGTTTCCTAGCATGACCAAGGCCCAGGGTTTGATCCCCAGCATGGGAAAAAGAAGAAAAAGAAAACTGAGAGGTTAAAAAGTCTAAAAACCTGTATGAAATATGATAAATAGCAAGTCTGGCTGAGACCTAAATTTCTCTAAGTAATAATGTGATAGTAATCAAAAAAGATAAACTAGCTCACATTAGAATCCTGAGTGCCAGTTTTAAGGAGCTTTGATTTGTTATTTTCACCTTGCTAAGATAAAATCAGTTTAACAGAAATTTTAAGTTTATATTACACAGTCTCCTGTATAACTAAGAAACATACATATACTGAACATTTAATTTTCAACCACAAAAGAACTAATACAAAAAAAATAAAATAAAACTTCTTATCGTCAAGTTCCTTAAGTCAGATAACACTGCTGGGCATTCACTTGCAGAGTATATTTCAATTGTGTGGTTCTCTGGAACAAGACACAGAATGTCTTTACATTGAACCAAGGTCAAGACTGCCAGGTGAGATAAAGAACAATGGATGATGTTATTTAAGGGCACTGAGGTACTGACAAGAGTGGCTGAAGTGCGCTATGTTGGGTAAGGCAGTGAAGAGAGAAAGGGAGTGTAAGAAAGAAGGTAAAAAACAAGGGATGGGAAGATTCAACTAATCCAAACCCACACAGAGGGTAACAGTAATAGGTGGGTGAACGTGTGGGAAGGGACGATCAAAAAGGAATATGTCTGGGGGCTGGGGCCGGGGCTCAGTGGCAGAGCACTTGCCTTACACATGTGAGGCACTGGGTTCGATCCTCAGCACCACATAAAAATAAATGAATAAAACAAAGACATGCTGTTCATCTACAACTACAAAAAAAAATGTTTTTAAAAGAAATAGAAAAAAAAAAAGGAGTATGTCTAACGTCTAACTTGAAAATTCAGTGGCCATGAAACCAAGTGGCTGAAACCGTATGGAGGTGAAGAACACTGGAAATCTGAAGGTTAAAAGGTAGTGAATGAGTACCTTTGCAGAATCTATCATGCCAAGAGCAGGTGGCAAAGACAACTTCTCTTGTTAAGAATTACTGGGGGTGGATGTTAGAATTGAAGAGAGAACTCCGAACAGATGGCAGAAAACTCACAGAAGGGCCATGGAATAATCATCTGGAGATCCCCATCAACATAGGTCCAACATATGTCACAAAATCTACTGTCACTTTTTGTTCTTGTTTTATGTGAACTTTCATTAGCAATCTCAGTTGCTAATCCAATCTTCCTACTGAAATTCTCTCCTCCATTGTTCCATGATAGGAAGTCCTATTTCTTATGCCTGTCTGGCTCCCACTCAACAGATGTATTTGGTCTCTATTAGACCTTTAAATGTTGGAAAGGGTCAAGATTCTCTTTTCATTTCTCTCTGCCTCCCTCTCCCGCCTCGGGATCTATTCCACATTCACAGCTCCATAATTCAAAAAAAATATCTGACCCAGGCCTGCCAAGTATCAATGCTTACTCAACATCTTCAAGCAGCTAAAATAACAATGAAATCAAAGTATACAAAATCAACCCTGACTCCTTCCAGGGTTCTCTACCTCACCTACCATCTTTCATTGAAGTGCTCAGACCAGAAACTTGGAAGACCCCTCAAAACCTCTCTCCTTCTCAACCTCATAACCATTTAATCACCAAGTACTGTCTATTTTCACTTCCCAAATGTTCTGCATACACCAGTTCTCTCCATCCCTGCATCAGACACCTTTTTAAAGCTCTATAATTTCTTATCTATACTTTCAGCTCCTTGAACATGCCAATCACTGGCCACTACTCCCTGCCTACTCCTTATCTTTTCATAGTCCTGAGTTCAGATCAACCTTTTTTAGTCATGAAAAACCCAAAACTTCCAGACTACATGAGGTCCTCTTCCTCTTCCATGCTGAAAGGGAAGAAAAGTGGAGGACTGTGGGAGAGGGCAATAGCTGCATAGTAGAAGAATCACTGAAGTTGTTTACCATTAATTTAATAGTGGTTCCATGTTTCCCATTTATGTAAAAATTTAACTTATACAACCACTAGAACTAAAAGAATCAAAGTTGGCAAATCTAAAGATCATTTCTGACCTTCCTTATTGCCTTAAGTAAACTTAAAACATGACTCAATAAGAATTTAATAACTTCATTTACTTTATAATCATTGCTGACTAGTAACCATTTCATTTTCCTCAAAAGAATTAAACATTTATAAAAGGGAAAGCACCACTTAAATGTATTGTCCTCCAATTGATCAAAGTCAGAGATAAGTATCAAAGGGAAAAACAAAAAATCTTAGTGTCTTAATAGGCCACTTCCATCCAACTAGAGGATACAATCTTCAACACCATCATTGTCAGCTGGTTTCCCTCAGAATTACCTCTAAAGTCTTAAAAGGCAATAACTAATTTTTTCACAGAATCTAATGCTTACAATTGACCTTGGTCAAAAACTGCAAAATCTTTGTTCTTTCAAATACAGAATATTTACCTCAAATTTCAAGCTAAACTACTGTCAAGAAGTTACTCAAGGATCTCATATTTTCCATTAAGAAATATTCAAAGGTTGCTGAGATTTCTTGCTAAAATTGGAAAATCAAACTAGAAACCAGCTGATAACATCTGGCACATCACTACCTGCAAAAATGGATTTAAACTGAAAATTTCTAAGTTGAACAAAGGACAAATGCAACCTGCTAGTCCAAAGAGTATTAAGTATCTTTCTTGAACTTTAAAAATAACTTCTCTCTTTTTCATCTTAGGCTCTCATTTTTTAATTCCAGGAAAATGGCATTTGACTTTAAAAGTACACTGATCATTAAAATAGTTGAGCCTTAGTCTTCTGCTTCAGGATGAAGTATCTGAAAAGATAGTAAAACAGAGCCCTAGTGGGATTTTTCATAAATATATTCTAGCTAGACATCAACTAAATTTTCTTACCTTATAAATCTAAAACCACAAGCCATAATGAAAAGCTCAAATTTCTTAAACTTTAATTATAGAAATGAATTCCTGGTCTTTTTATAGATAGCAAATGTGTCTTATTCATTGCTATATCCCCTTTGCCTAGCACATAGCAACCATTCAACAATTCTCTATTGAGTAATCAAAAGAATAAACATAGCAAAATATTACACACTTTAAAAATAAAAGCACACATCCATTAATGCCTCAGTCACTGAATATCTAATAGTGGCTTATAGTAGCTCCCTCTCAAAGAATATAGTCTAATTATGAAATATTTGTTATCTAAATAGAATTCTTATTAAGTCTCCCCAAGAAAACTACATTCAGTAATAATCTCATATAATACTAGCTTATAGTCCTGCTCCCTAGAGCTAACATTACAAAGGAATTCAATGAATTTAACTACACTTATAAAAAATACATGCCTATCTTAAAATCAAGTAACAATATTTTTTAAAATAATTTTTTAAAATATTTTCTTTTTAGTTGTAGACAGACACAATACCTTTATTTTATTTTTTTATGTGGTGCTGAGGATTGAACCCAGTGCCTCACACATGCAAGGCAAGCACTGTACCACTGAGCCACAACCCCAGCCACAACCCCAGCCCCAAAGTTACTATGTACCAACTCTGAAGGACTAGTCATTTTCAGCTGAATATTTGCAATGTTAAAAAAAAAACAAATTTCCTTTTACAAGTTATTAAGATCAGACTGGCCATTATTTTGAAGTACCCAGCCTTGCCACAGTATAAGAAGTTTATTTCTCTAGTTCTGAACTCTTTATACTCACTTTCTTCTTTCTTCCCTCCATCTTGCAATCTCCTCTGGCGTGTCTAACTTGATCTTCTTCATACCAGGAGCATGCATCTAGGGGGCAAAAAGCCTGCTGAACACCAGGAAGCATATTGTGTGCTTTTGACTGACTGGAAAACTTTGTATCAAACATTAAATTTATAAGCAGAAATTATTTTAAAACTAAGTTAAGCAGGTTTTATCCATCCTTATTATGACTTTTCCTTTAAGGAAAAAGGAATAATTTCTCATATATTTAAATTAATGTTATTGATGGGGAACAAAAGGAGTAACATAACTGTAGTTATAAAGCCAATTTTTCTTTTTTTCATATATAAACACACACTCCAAATTTCTATCAAAAATATAAATAAAAGGCCATTTTGCTACATAAATTTCTGAACAACCAAGGAAAGCCAACTTTCTTTTTTTTTTTTTTAACTTTTTAAAACATTTTAGATAAAATTTTTCAAACAATACTTAAGATCCATAGCATCTTTACAGGATGGGGAGCTAATATAACCTATTTTCTCAATTGATTTTAAATATCCAAGTAAATAATTTACCAACCAATATTGAGGATGGCATCTGAAGAAATGAGTTGACATAAAAATTTTAGAAGCTGGGATTGTGGCTCAGTAGTAGAGCATTTGCCTAGTATGAGGCACTGAGTCTGATTCTCAGCCTCACATAAAAATAAATGAATAAAATAAAGGTCCATCAACAACCAAAATTTTTTTTAAAAAATTAAGTAGCAAATTATAAAACCAGTACAGAATTTAGAGTCAAAAAACCTCAAGTGCAAGATTCTTAGGAAAATTATATTTTTAATCTGTTAGAATTAGGCCTATATTTACCTATTCACACAGTTGTTTGTGAGGATAAAATTGAGTAAGAGATATAAAACTCCCTTACAAAGTACTCCATAAATATTACTTCTTATTAGACCAAGTGAATAAAAAGCCATGAAAGAACAGATTAATAAAACAAGAGGAGCATGCAGCCAAAAAAAGAAAAAGTTTAAAAAAACACAGACTTACATGTTTCCAGTGAAACTGGACAATCTTCTCATGTGCAGTAAAAGAGCAATCTACTTCAGGACACTGTAACAGTTGTTTAAAAAGACTATTTAATGTTTTCACACTAAGTTTACGCTTTTACATATACAGAGATGTATTCTGGTCTTGTTATATAATTATCCATCTATACAGCCATATTACTTTATTCTTATGTCAACAGCAAAACAGAGATCACTCCAAAAGTGATCTGTATTTAAAAAGAAAAGATGGTAAGGCACAGTGGCACATGCCTGTAATCCCAGAAAATCAGGAAGCTGAGGCAGGAGGATCACAAGTTGGAGGCCAGTCTGGGCAACTTAGCAAGACCTCGTCTCAAAATTAAAAATAGCTCAGTAGTACAGCAACTCCTGGGCTAAATCCCTAGTAGCTTAAAGTAGAGCACCCCTGGGTAAAATCGAAAGGAAGGAAGGAAGGAAGGAAGAAAAGAAGAAAGGAGAGAGAGGAAGAGAGAAAGAAAAGAGAAAGAAATAACATTTTCAAAGTATATAGCACAGTATATTTCATTTACTTCATTTAGGTAAAAAACTTGACATCAGCAATGCTATAAAATGTGCTAAAGTTGAAGAATATTTCTATAAATGAAGAGAAAACTTTTTCAAACTAAGAACTTTCTTTTTTTTTTAACTTTTAAAAACATTCTAGATAAAATTTTTCAAAAAATACTTAAGATCCACAGCATCTTTACAAGGTGGTGAGCTAAGGCAAATTATACTGTGGTTAAATAGTCAAGGGATCCTTAACCTTGACCTTGAGCCTTAACCTCTTTAAGGAAAAAGAATTTACAAAGATGCACAGGACAATGAGAGGGAAGGACCTAACTTTTAACAAGCAGTGGAGGTGCTCATGTTCAAAGAGCTGTCACCTCTCCCTTCTATGCTGGTATCTTACTATCCCTGAAGCAGAGGGCATCCCTCTCTCAAACCACAAACTCCAATGCCACTGTCTCTATTCATCAAGTCATCAAAGAACATTTCTACAACAACTACGAACTTTTAAGAAACACACACTCCGAATTTTCTGTCAAAAATATAATATATAAAAGGCCATTTTGCTACATAAATTTCAGAACAACCAAGGAAACTCACTTTTGTATGTTCAGACATGTGTTTGTCATGCTTTTCTTGATCTTTAAAACCACGATCACAGGTATCACAAAATAAGTGAAAAACTTGTTCCTTTCTTCTCTGTAAACAAATAAAGAAGGAGGGATTAGGCTTTTTGGGGGAAATATCAAGTCAATAATACAAATGTAACTATCTGCCTAGTAACACATGTGATATAACTAAATGTAAATCCAACTAGATTTAATCTAATGTTGTAAACTATGAGTCAATTTTGAATTGGCAATCTAATTAAGACTCAGTACAGAAGATGTCAAAGGATCTAAAAATAAATATTTAAGGCAAACTTACATTTCATCTTTTAGGTAAAGCCCTATTTCATGAATTTTTTTAAAAATCACAGAAGGGGGACAAAGAATCATTTCGGTAAGGATTAGCACTAATTTGCTATTTTCATGCTTAAACATAACAAAAAGCTTATTATCATGATAGGATATATAGAAATAGAACTCCAATTCTTTAATGCTAAGATTATGTTCATAAATATATGCACTTCACAATATTTTGTAAATATAAGCCACAAAATTTTCATGTCAAGTGAAGGACACTAATTTCATGTTGTAGACGGATCCAACTTATTCTAAACTAATAGCATTGTTTATAGATTTTAAATTTAAAAGATCTGATCTGTAAACTATAGAATAAAGGAAGTTATCTTAATACAGCATTATGCTTCTGAAGTATAAGCATATAATTATAGTGTGGTTAAACTGTTGCTCATTTTTAAAAATAAGACATTTTCATAAAATGATAGATGCCCACTTTTGAAAAAACTGAAATATTAAAATGAATAAACAATAAATAACATTTATAGCACAAAAATCCTGTCTGAGTTTCAGATATTACTTTATGCATACAGGATAATTAAATATAAACGGTTTTAAGTTATAAATATTAAATTAACCCAATTTTAATGCAAGAAAAAGAAACAGAAGCTACTACTTTTTTACTATAGACACCCATTCCTAAAAGGCATTTCTCTGTTAAAAAAAGATTATGAAAAAACAAAAGGTTTGTGTCGTTATAGTGTGTTTTTAAATACGTGCTTATAAGAAAAAATTTGGACTTCTAGTCTCCCAAAATTCCATCCCTCATTTCTCAATCTGCTAGTAAGTTTTTAAATTATCAAATTCTAATAACATTTACAGTATTTGTAATTATAGTTCTCAATTATTTTTACTCCTAATATGGTATTGAAAAAGATTCAATGTTTTCTTTATCTATAATTTCTTCACTCATTTTTCAAAATAATTTTGCTTTAAGTCTTTACTTACAGCTAAGATCCTTAAAAATCCTATTGCAGCAAAGCTCTACTATGTCAGTAATGAATGCAAAACATTGAAATAGATATGATAGAAAGAAAAGATAAAATAGTAACAGAAGAATCAAAGCATCATAGTCAAGAAATCTTAGAAATACCTTTTTTTTCTGTTTTTTGCCAGGAGAGAAGTTAACATTAGTGAATTTTGCATCATATTTTGGTGGAAAATAAGAATGATTAACTGAAAAACAAAAACAGATCCATTAATGTTTGCAACTGCTCAATTATTTACAATTTAATTTACTATTTAATTTACATCACAGATACTTGAGTAAAAACACTGGTAAACTACCCATTATAAGAAGAATAGCAGTTCTAACAAATTAGCAAAGACTATGATTAGTTAATGATTTTTTCAAATGAAGAAATACTGGTGAGATTACATGTCCATACATGTGTTAGGTACCTAGTACAGGAACAAACACTCTAAACCTGATGAAATTCTCTGAGTTATTTTAAATATTAGAAATGTAACCAGTGAGGGGTAGGGTTGTGTGAGGCACTGGGTCGATCCTCAGCACCACATAAAAAATAAATAAATAAAGGTTTAAAAATGCTTAAAAAAAAGAAAAAAAGAAATGTAACTAGTGAAATCCCTAGTCCTAATCCTTCAGCATCAATTTCACACCAGGAAAACAAAAAGTTGTGAAATATGTCTCCTTTCAAATCCCACCCTTTCTACTCCCTTCCAATCTTATGACATGATTTAGAAACCCTGATCTTCTGCCTAAGTTACTGTGCCAGCTTTCTGGATTGTCTTCCAGTGCCTAACCCCTCTCTTCCAACAGACCTTGCATTTTGATATCACAAAAATATTTCTCCAATCACATCAATCAGGGTCAAAAATATGCAAATAAGGGGAGATATAGCTCAGTGGTACAGCACTTGCCTACCATGCATAAGGCCTTCGGTTCTATTCTCAACACTACCCAAGATCCCAAAAAATCTGCAAATGGCTTCCTAAAGTGAGATTCCAGTTTATTTTCTCATCCCACCCTTTCCCCATAATTTCCACATACTCTGCCTCAGTCACACCAGAACACTACAATCTCTAAAACTTGTTATACCGATACCTCTTTAACTCCACCTAAGAAGTAGCTCTTCCCAAATTCTACAGATCTCCTGAGTCTTCTAAAAACTTTTCCCAATTTTCTCTGCACTTTAAAAACTACCTTTTATATGCCTCTATCATCCACCATATTGTGCTGTGATTTATACATATCAAATCTGACCTAGCAAATTCATATTCCTACATCCAGTACACAGTAAACACTAATTGTTTGAATTCAACTTAATGTATACTGGGTTTTATAATGAATTGGATAATGATTTTAAGTGAACAATCTTTGTTTTACAAGCTCAATTCCTAGTTTTCTAAATCTGATTCATCCACTCTGCCCTATTTCAGTTAATAACAACTCCATCCTTCCAGTCATTTGGCAAAATTTCTCTCATACACCACATTCAGCAAATCATTTTGATTCTTCCTTTAAAATATATCTGGAGTCTGATTAGTTCTCATCTGATTATTTCTCACCCCCAGATCTCTACCTGATCCAAGTCCCCATTATCACTGGAACAACTGCAGTAACTTTCTAAACATCTCCCTTTCAGTCAATTCCCATCAATAGGGTTCCTCTTAAAATACAAATCAGATCAGGACACTCTCCTGCACTATCCATCTCATAACAATAAAAGCCAAAGTCTCATCATCTACAAAGACCTACCAAGTCTGCCCTCAAGTTCTACCCTCATCCACAAGGACCTATGAAGTTTGCCCTCCTTCCCAATCTTCTACAATTGTACCCCAGGCTCAGTCTTCTCTAGCCACGGTAGTTTTCAATCAGATGAACAGCTTCTGCCTGAAAGCCTTCACCATTACCTTTCCTTCTGGCTCCATTCCTCCTCAGAAATATGCATAATTCTGATCTCTCACCTCCCAGAAATCTGCTCCAATGAATACCAATGAAATTTAAAAGTACACCATTATTCTTCTTTATCTCTCTCAACAACACTCATTACCTTCTAATTCACAATTCTGTTTATTGTCTATCTTACTACACTAGGGAGATATTAAGCTCCACAAAGACAGGATTTTTGATTTCTTCACTGTTATATTCTCAGCTCCTCATATATAGGTGGAATTCAAGAAACAATAGCTAATGAATGAGCAGGCAGGGGAATCATTCCATTAGAACATATTTTGAGACATCAATTACCAGACTCCAAGAGTACAGGGCAGAGTGATAATGGGGAAAACAGAAATGGGATAGGTAGGAAGAGAAAGCAGGATAAAGGGTGGTACCGCAAGGAACCATAGCCTACCTGGAGGATTGCAGGAGTTCTGCTGATGAGGGAAAGCACCAGGAGACTGTCCCCAGGACCAAGATTTCGAAGCCTGGAACTTCCAAGCAGGCTGGCCGCTGAGCTGAGGCTGAGAATCAAGGGGGGACTGGGAGTCGAAGGGGGGCTGCGTCCCGGGCAGAATCTGGGCATCAAAGGGGGGTGGCGCCCCGGAGAGAGGCTGGACCTTCATCCGGGGCTGAGCCTCAAATGAATGCTCTGATCTGGTCGCGGGCTGCAACGTAGGAGGCGGCATTGGTGGCATCATTGCCCAGAACATCCAGTTGTCCCGCGGAGGGGCGGCGTTGCTCATGGGCCCCAACCTGGGAGTCGGTTCGGGGGCTGGAAACCACCCCGGAGGGCTCATAAAATTACTAGCTGGCTCTGCCATGCTATCTTCTTCTAAACTGGGAGCCCAGCATGCGTCTGTGTAACAGGCTTTACACATCACTTCCGTTACTGCGAATTTCACGGCTCAGCCAATCACAGGCTGTTACGTCATTGATCGGCGCCGGAAGACTTCCAGCCGCCGCGGAGCGTCCGGGGCTGCGTTTGGGGTAGATTTGAACCGCACTCATAGGGGTTGACGGGTGATCAGTGTCCGCCGTCGCGGATGGCCAGGGACCTGATAGGGCCGGCGCTGCCGCCTGGTTTCAAGGCCCGCGGGACAGCAGAGGACGAGGAGCGGGACCCGAGCCCGGGTAAGCGGCGGCAAGTCCCCTGCCCGCCAGGCCCATCGTTCCCTCTCTGGTCCGGCCCTGCTGTCTGAGAAAAGGTCTGGGCACATGAAGGCGGAGGAGTGAGGAGTGGGTGCGGGCCGCCTCGAGCTTATTCTCTTTCCCAAGTCCTACGAGTGGGGAGAAGCCTGCTCAGAAACCGAGCTTTGGTCCGAACGACGATACATTCCCACTAGGTGCTCCTTGCCCGCGACGCTGTGCTAATTGATGAGTACACTGTTCAGTCGTTCAATTCCTCCTCGCTACTGTGTAAGGAAAGAACTTCCTGTGTTACAAGTGGGGACGTCGACAAGTGAGGCCAAGATGCCCAGATCACTCAGCTCGTCAGTAGTGGAGCCCACATTAGAACGAAGCTGCTCCCCTAGCTTCTTCCCAGTAGCTCTTTCTATCGTTCAAGACCTTGGCAGAAGATCCGATACCCACTAGCCCCAGACCTGCCTGCTCATTTTGTCATTCCATCGACTCACACAGCTCAGTACTCCCACTAGTCCGAGTTTCTGCACGCTTCCTCAACTCTGTGCTTTATTCGGGCCTCAGGTTGAACTTACTAGACCTCTCTGACAACCTCCTATCTGTCTTCAAGGCCCAATTTAAGTGTTACTTCAGCGAAATCTTTCCCAACTCTCCCAAGCATTTATCCTCAGGGATTTTCCTTGTTGAAAGTTGAAGAAAAAATGTAGGTAAATTCCACTGGGTGAATATTCTGCAATTTATTTATCCATTTTAATATTGATGGACTTTGAGTGGTTTCCATTTTTTGCCTGAACAAAAAGTTGTGCTGTGCATTGTAATACATGTCTTATGGAAGATTCTTCTAGCTTCAAAGTACCAAACTTCTCATCATATATGAGAATTCTAGTTATCTTGTGTTCTCCGTAATACTTAGTTTTCTGTCTTTTTAATCTGATGTTTTTTAGCTAGAATCTCGTGGTTGTTTTAATTGACAATCTTTTCTTGGGAGTGGGGGTTGTTGGTTGACCGTTTGGACATGTGTACAAGTCATTTGCTCATTTTTCCATTGAGATTTATAGAGTTCTTTATATAGTCTAGATATGTCACTTTTCGGATATATGCATTAGAGTGGATAGAAATAGCCTCTCTGATTCTATAGTTTTATTTTAACTCTCTCATCGATATGTTTTGATGAACAGAAATTTTTAGCATTCTGATTTGTAATTTTCTATATTCTGTTCAAGAAATCTTTGCCTACTCTAAGGTTATAAAGCTATTCTATGTGTTCTTATAAAAGCATTGTTGTTTCAGCTCCCATGTTTACTTTAACAATCCATTTGTAATTGATATTTGCTTGTAGTATAAGCTAGGGATGAAGTTTTTTCCTCCTCTGGATCTCCAGTTGGCCTGGCCCATATTGAACTAACTATTCCTTCTCTGCTGTACTACAATGTCATCACCTTCCTGAGGGTGACCAATATATGTGAATCTAAGTTTTTTTTTTCATATTCTAGCAAAATATATATAATCTGAGGTATATCATATTAACCATTTTTAAGTACTCAGTGGCATTAGGTATATTTACATTGTTGTGTAACCATCACTATCATTCATCTCTAGAACTTTTTTATTTTGCAATACTGAAACTGTATCATTAAACAAAATTCCCCATTCCTCCCTCCCCCAATCCATGGTAATCATCATTCTACTTTCTTTTTTGCTTTTATGAAATTGACTGTTATTAAGTGTCTCATAAGTGGAACCAAACAGTGGTATTTGTTACTATTGTTATTGTTGTTTTGTAACTGTCTTATTTCACTTACCAAAATATCTTCATGTTTCATCCATTTACCACACAACAGAATTTCCTTCAAGTGGAGATTCTTGAACCCAGTATGATATCTGCCCTGTGTTCCTCACACTCAGGCTAACTAAGAAAAAAATCACTGATGAGGGAGACCAGTTCAGAGGAGGAAGGAGATCATAGATCTGTGATGGAATGAGTAAACATCATTCAAATATATATTCTGGAAATAGACTGCTTAGAAATGTCCCCTGAAATCATGTCATGTTAAAAACAGTGAGGTACAAACGTTTTCTTAAAACCAATCCACATGCTTCAGATGTTCCTCTGCAAACCTAAGGGAAGCTTTGGCCATTTTGACACTAACTTTAGTTCCTGATCTATAGTGACTTTTACCTCCATTAATTGAAGCTGCATTTATAGTCACACTCTGGACCCTATCCTACCTCCAGAAACTTAAATTCAGATCTCATTCTCAGCAGAAACGCCTTATTAACCCTCATCCTCACTCAGTTACTCCTATCCCATTTGTCTTTTATCTTTGTTTTTACCTCATTGAGGTGTCCAGTCTCTATGTGTCTAGATTCTCTCTTCAATTATTTTTGTCCCTGATCCACCTAGGCTCTAGGGCCCATCCACTTTTGCTGGTGCTTTCCATTTCCTTATTTCATCAAGTATTCTGTTAAACCCATCCAGCAGAAAAGAAACCTAGCCCTGGATCACTACAAAGGTTTATCTCAGTAAGCCTATGTCTAGGCTGCCAAATGCTGCTAAGAGAAATCTCAAACTTCCATAGAATAATGATACTAAAAATTATAGTCTCTTCCCTGTTTCCTTAATTCTACCCAGGAATCCTCACAGGTTTCACTTAGGTTTCTTCCCCTCATTAGCATCCCTGGCACACACTCACAAGTGTGTATGTGTGTGTGTGTGTGTGTGTTTGTTTTTCTGATGATTGAACCCAAGGCCTTGCACATGCTGAGCAAGAATTCTACCACTGAGCCATATTCCCAGCCTGTAACTGTGGCTTTTTAATACCTTCTTTTTCTTTCTTAAACTTTATATCTCTCTTTGTACTTCAAAGTGGATGCCATCATAATAGAACTTCCCAGAAGTTGGTTACAATAACTAAAAACGTTCTTGAATCTATTCTTGTCTTCCTTTCATAACAGTGGAAGAGGTGTCCTGTGCCCTTCCAACACAAATTCTACATTTTACTCTGGATTCCTTCTTTTTTCTCAGGGCTTCACACCCTTAACATTTAACCACATGTTCAAATCTTTCCCATCTTTTAAGAAAATTCTACTTCATACCTCCCACTAGCTGCTCTTCTCTTACTGTCTCTGGATCCTCCATTTTATCCTAACCCCACTGCATCCTGGCTTCTGCTCTTGCCAGGCCACTGAGACTACCCTCACCATTTCTCTGTGGAAATAAATATCATTTTATTGCTATATTCAAGGCTTTTCTTTTCATTCCTGATCTTGCTTGAGCTCACAGTAGCATGTAACCCCACTGATCCTTCCTTCTCTCCTCTCTTGGTCTCAGCCATCCCAAACACCTTTCTGTTCTCTGTGAGCTTGGCTTCTTTGCTTTTACTCGTTAGCAGATAACATTTCCGTCTGATCAAATGACTTTTTTTTCAATCCTCACCTGCTTTACCCAGCTAACTCTCTTATATTTTAGGCTCCAGTCAACCATCACTTTTTCTAGGAAACATTCTCTGGACATTTCTACCTATGGCCTGTGAAAGACTAGGTTGAGTGCTCCTTCCATAGCTTAATCGTGTTATGGGATAAGCGTTTTTCATGAAAGGACCAGATAATAAATATTTTAGGCTTTGCAGATTAACATATATATAACAAGAGAAAACAATTTCTTTTTCAGTACTGAGGATTGAATGCAGGGGTACTTTCCCACTAAGCTATATTCCCAACCCTTTATGTGTTTTATTTTGCTAAGTTGCCAGGCTGGTCTCAGACTTGGAATCTTGTGTCGATCTTCCAAGTAGGTGCGATTATAGGCATGTGCCACTGTACCCAGCTCAAATGTCTGCAAATTTTTGTTGCAATTCAAAACATAACATGATGAAGTACATGTTTTTTTTTTTTTAACAAGTCTACTAATGAGAAGAATGGCATTACCATTCTTCTCATTAGTAGACTTTTCATTTAATTGGGATTCAGGGTTGATGTCCCCAAACATCAAAATCAATTGCAAAACAAAGCAATTGCAGATATTCATCGGTTAATGTTAATGCTGACTGTAATGAGATTTTATATATTATACTGAGTCCGTTTTTTGTATGCATAATTCTGTGTGATAGATGTTGCAAGGAAAATACAATGAAACCTAAGCATGACCCCGTTCTCATGGAACTTGTAATGATGTAAAATTACCATTGCAGAGGGAGAGCTTCTTTTTTTGGTGGTACTGGGGATTGAACCCAGGGCCTTGCACATACGAGGCAAGCCCTCTACCAACTCAGCTATATCCCCTGCCTGAAGAGGAGCTTCTTAATCATAAGAGTCACAGATTTAGGAAAGATATGAAAAAGTTCATTACATGTGCCTAAGATCATTTTTGAAATAAATTACATAGTTCAGAAGACAGAAACTTATAAAAAAAATAAAGCCAGGAATGTCCTTAATTTTATTAGGAAGTCAATAATGTAGATTCATTTGCACTTTCAATATTCTTTTTCTTTATTTTACCATCTCTTAGTATTCTGTTATTTCCTTATATAATACTTATTTCTCTTGATTCAGCTCAAATAGAAATTAATGATTTGGTGCATGTTTGTAATCCCAGAAACTCGGGGAGAGGCTAAGGGAGGAGGATCACATGTTTGAGGCCAGCTTCAGCAACTTAGCAAGACTCTGTCTCAAAATATAAAATAAAAAGGGCTGGGGATGTAGTTCCGTGGTAGAGCAGCCCTGGGTTCAATCTCTATTGCCAACAGAATAAAATAGATATTGATGATTTTATGTACTGAATGTCACTTATTTGCATCATCATTTTAAAAGATAAGGACATGTGTTCTTGGATGAGTTTTATCTTTATCTGCTTATTATGGGTGTTTGTTTGTTTGTTTGTTTTGAGACAGGTCTCGCTAAATTGCTTAGGGCCTTGCTAAATTGCTGAGGCTGGCTTCGAACTTGCAATCTTCCTGCCTCAGCCTCCCAAGTCAGTAGGATTATTCTTCTTTTTAAATTTATATCCTACTTTTAAAACTCAAGGCAAATTTATCTGTTAGTTATAATACCAAGGACAGCACATATTTAGACCATATTAAGCTCTTTAATTACTTGAATTGTATAAAAGAATAATAAAATTTCTTTTTGATACAAACCAGTCTAAAACTCTCCAGTAGTGTCCACTTGATAGTTACATTGATAGCACCCACATATAAGAAAAGGAAGAAATAAAAGAAAAAATCCCTCTTTAATATTTAAAACCAAGAACAGGATGAAAAGAACTAATCACTATGAGAGCAAAACACAGTTCCCAATCTCCTAGCAGGATAGATTATTCTTTGAGGTCAGAGGTCAGATATAATCACATTTATAGTTGGAGGACATTTGCATACTGAGGCATTAAGTATTCTTCAATAAACAGAAGACATAGGTATGAATGTGATTCTTAAGTTTTAATGTTTTCCTATTTTTGCTGCTTTACTATAAGGCAATGCAATAGTGGAAGTTTAACATTTATTTTCTAAAACTCTTTCCTTTAAAGATACAAATACTGAAAGTACATCAAAATTTTTTATACTTAATTTTGAATTTTTAAGTCGACTTATTGAGTATAAGCACTTGTTCTATATGTCTTCAAAGTTTTTGCTTTAACCTCTAAAAACAGGTTTGTTTGTTTTTTTTCATTTCAAATCATAAGTATTCTGGGTAAGAGGAATCACTCATCTGCCTGTGACCTTTTAGGAAAGCTGTTTTGTTGAAGTGCTGTACCTATACTTAACCTAAATTTGAGTGGACTATGCTTTACTGTATTTAAATGATGAATTCAGTTTCAGAAGTTAAACTTTTTATTTGCAATTTCAAAAAAAAATCACTGTTCTATAGTAATACTCCAGACAGATAGGGAAAAAAAATTAGAAGTAGGTCAGTGATCCCAAAACTAGCCTTAATTTCTCCCCTGAGGTTTACACTAGTATGCTCAAGTACTGCCTGTGAAAAACAAACCTTGACTCTTCCCACTAAACCTCTTCTCTTAGTCTAGAAGTCTCCCGACATGAGAGAATTCCATTTCCATCCAGTTATAAGACTTATACTCTTGTTTGATTTTTTTCCCCTTCACTTCTTACATCTACATAGATTAGCAAATACTCTTTGTTCTTCCTCCAAAGTATGTTGCAGATAAAACCATTTCTTAACTTTCTAATATATATTTCCTACTCTTAATATCTCATCTGTTGTCTAAAAGCAGCTTTTAAAAAATTTTTCAGTTAATTCAGGTCTCTTCTGACTGAAAACCTTCTTATAACTGCCTATTGTAATTAAAATCCAAACTCCTTTTCATAGCCTATACTCACATTTATTAAGCACTTATTACTCCAGATACTTTGCATATATTAACTGATGTTGTCTTCACACCTATCCTGGGAAGTTGAAACTATTGCTAACTCATTTTTACAAAGTAAGACTATAACACAGGAAGGTTAAGTAACTTCTCCAAGTCACACAGCTAATAAGTGACTGGGCTGTGATTCAGGATGGATGAATCTGACTCCAAAGCACAGAATCTTGCCCCTTTATGCCATCCAGCTTTATCTTGTCATTTTACTTACTTTGCTTTAGCCATGCTGGCCTTTTTGTTCCTTGAGTGTATAAAGCCTGTTCTCTCCATAGGATTCCCCACGCCCCCACAGACTCTTTTATCTAAAATGCTGATTTATTGATTTACATATACTAGGGATTGAACCCAAGGGTATTTTACCACTGAACTGCATACTCAGTTCTTTTATTTATTTATTTTTATTTTGAGACAGAGTATCACTTAGTTGCTGAAGCTGGCCTCAAACTTGCATTCCTCCTGCCTTAGCCTCCTGAGTCTTTGGAATTATAGGCATACACACTGTATGTGGCTAGAATCTTATTCTTTTAGATCATTGCATGGCCAGTCAGCTCATCATTTAATTTCATCTAAAGGCCTTCTCAGGGAGGTGTTCCTGACTACTTAGAAACCTCTCACATGGCAGGTGTGGTGGCAAATACCTGTAATCTCAGCTACTCAGGAGGCTAAGTCAGGAGGATCAAAATTCAAGGCTAGTCCGGGCAACTTGGCAAGAACCTATCTCAAAAATAAAAATTTTAAAAATTACTCTCTCACATATTTTCCTATTTTGTAGCAGCACTTCAACTATCTGGATTGATCTTCTTTCTTTTTATGTTTGCTTCTTTGGAAGTATTTGTTCAATAAATATTTGTTGGATGGGTGGTTGGATGTTGACTCTGTTGAATATTGGTCAGTTTAGTAGTCAAGGAAGCATAAGACTCATCCTCTTGTTTGAATAGGCTCTGAAATCACACTGGTGTGTCATATCCCAGCTCCACTGTTTAGTTGTGTGAAGTTGGGCAAGTTATGTATAATCTTTCTGTGCCTCAGTTCTTCATCTATAAAGTAGAAATAAAATAATACCTCCCTAGTAAAATTGTTGTCAGAATTAAATAAGTTAATGAATATAGACCTCTTTAAACAGTACCCAGAACATAAGAACTCAAGACATGTTATTTGTTGTTTAATGACTGTCATACTCAGAATGCTGTTTGGAAATTTATATTTTCAGGCCTTCTTTCAGGCCAATTGAATCATAATCTCTGAGAAAAGGGCTCAGGGGTTTT